TTTGCTAAATATTTTTGAGTAGCCTTATTTTTATTTTTGTCGATTTTATCATATTGTTGGCAAGTTAATCCTTCATGCCATAATGAATCATGCGTGAAGCAACTTTTAGTTCCACAATCTCTGCATGTCAATATTGGCTCAGATTCACTTCCTATATGAGATTGAGCTGATTTGCATTTAGGATTTTTACACCATCTAATATCTGGCATCTGTTGGAGTGCTTTACGTAATGCTAATTCGTCATATCTAATAAAATTAAAATTTTTAAATTTTTTTTTTGTTTTTGCTTTTGAAAAATCAAAATAAATCATTTTGTTTTTTTCTTACCTTTGATATAAATTATCATTAACAAGATTTTTTATTTCATAATTATCTAAAATTACATCACATCCTATAAAAGGACACTTGATATTTATATCACCTTTATCATTTAAATTACCTTCAATGTATTTATTAACACATTCATCACATATGTTTGCATTATGATTACAATTATTTGAAATTATCACAAATGATTTAGGAGGTCGTTCTTCAACACAAATTATACATTCTTTTTTCTTTAGGTTGCCTTTTAAAGTTGGAATTCTACCGCTATCACTCAAATCTTGTAATTCCATTTCATATTTATGCATTTGTGAAGTATTATTTGGTTGGATCCTGAGGCATTTATTCTGATCAACTAAAACGTCTTCATATTGAATTTGTAGACGAAAAACTTCTTCACGAATTTCCCAAGCACGAGATTTCTTTGGTTTCATTACTAATGCATCATCCAAATCACAAAGTGCAAGTGCAAATTCATCAATATTTAGATAAGCGAATGCTCTATCACACTTCAATGAATAACTATTAGGAATTTGGGTCAATATTTCTGAGTATAATCTAATAGCAGACTGGTATTGACTATTTTGTAAACTTAAAGTTGCTTCCTGATACTTTGGATGTTGTTTTTTAGATTTTTTGAATGTATTTGAAAATCTTTTGCTTGTTGTTATTGGGGCTGGAATGGATGGTCTTCTGTCTTTATTTGTTGCATTATTATTATTATTATCGTTTTTTTTGTACTTAGTTTTGTCATTTATATTAGATATACATGTATCATTATTATTATAATCACCTATATGATTTTTGTGATATGAGGGCATATGAAAAGAAGAGGAGCTGACACGTTTTGCGTCAACTGTAATATTTGAGTTATTTGTATGGTTTATATGTGCATTGTTGTTGTTGTTGTTGTTGTTGTTGTTAACATTATAATAATTATTTTTCATTGGTTTATTATAATTATCAATAATTGGACTCATTTTGTTATTTGTATCAAAATAAGGTTTACTATTATATCCTCCTAGTAATTGTTGTTGATGTTGTAATATTGGATTGTAAATATTATTATTATTGGTTCCAGATAGTTGTGAATTATCTATTTGATTGTTAGTATGAGATAGGTGGTATAAGTTTTGAGATTGATTTTCATAATATTCAGATGAATTATAAGATTTAATATTATTATTAGATATAATTGTGGCAGCAGTATCTTCACCATCATTATTAGTGATGTTAAGTTCATTTAATTGATCGACTACTTCATTATTTGGTTCATCCCGAATTTTTTGATTGTCGGGCGAACCTGAAACTCCGTTTTGTTGCTGTTGATGATGATATTGAAATTCTTGATTATTAACAGATATAGACGATGATGATGATGCTTTTTGAGAGTGATATTGATAATTAAAATTATTGACATAATTCGCATTTATATCATTATTTTGTTGAGTGTAATTATCATTTGAAAAACTTTGATAAACTGCTGTACTATTATTGTCATTATCGTTATTCTGTCGTATATTATAATTATAGATAGATTTAGGTGTACTGTTAGAAGATGGTGAATGGAATTTTGAACCAGGAACGTCATTGTCTCTAAATAATATATAGGGAACAAAAGTTCTTATTCTCGGCCTAATAGATAACTCATTAGTTAGTAAAATATCACCATCATCATTATTATTACTATGATTGCTTTCGTTGGTGTGGCCAACTGTATTAGAATTTGAGAAAGTGTCTAAATTTGTAAAAAATTCTTTAGAATGATTTTGTAGATCCTCTGTACAGACAGATTTATTGTTATTTAATAAACCACTGCTTGTATTTTGTGATGATTGTTGTGATTGTGGTGATTGTATTGGCTGTATTTGTTGTGATGTTTGTTGTAGTTGTTTATCATATGATTTATCAAAAGTAATATCTGAACTATGAGAGTATTGAACTCTATGACTATGTACTTTAGAAGAAGCAGATCGAGAAATTCTATAGTTCATATTATTGTTTTTGTTTTTGTCACCTTTGTAATTGTTAAAATATTTGGGACTAGATTTTCCTAAATTTTGTGATGAGTTATCATGATTAATAATATTGTTAAAAGATGAATCGTTATCATCATTATTGGAATAATTAATTATTGGAAGATCTTCTATTACACGCCTTTCGTGGTCAGAGGTTGGGGAAGTGATAAATGATGTTGGAACAGAAGTATTTAAATAAGAATGTAAAGAACGTTGAGGCTTTTTTTTATGCTGATCATGGTGTGCTGGTTTAATAAATTCATATGAACTTTTTTTTTTATGTTGATTTCTTTTTTTTTTTTGTTGTTGATTACTATTAACATAAGATTTATTAAAGGTAATATCTGAGCCATGAGAATGTTGAACTCTATGATTAGAAACTTTAGAATAAGCAGAAGAAGTAATAACAACAGATTGAGAAATTTCATAATTCATGTTATCGTTGTTGCTGTTAAAATACTTGGAATTAGATTTTCCTAAATTTTGTGAGGAGTTATCATGATTGAATGCATCATTATTATAAATAATATTGTTAAAAGATGAATCGTTAATTATTGGAAGATCTTCGATTACACGCCTTTCGTGGTCAGAGGTTGGGGAAGTGATAAATGATGTTGGAACAGAATTATTTAAAGAAGAATGTAAAGAACGTTGAGGCTTTCTTTTCTGTTGATCATAATGTGCTGGTTTAATAAATTCATACAAGTTTTTTTTTTTATATTGAATTTGATCTTTTCTTTGTTGTTGGTTATTTAGATCGTTATTATAATGATTGCCACTCTCATTGCTTTTACTTTGCTATAATAATAATAGTAATAATAATAATTAAGAATTAACAATATTGCACATGATCATTTGTACAGTACCGAATTTCTATTAAATATTCATATAAACATTTACCGAACATTGTTCCATTTTCTCTTTATTTATAATTTTTTTTTGCTTTTAGCATAGATAAATGCGCGTTTTTTTAAAAAAAATGTAACAGTAAATAGAAAATAGTAATAGTAATACTAGTAATGATATGAGAGCATGATGGAAAGTTCGATTTATCACGTTTACAGTGCGGATCACCTATTACTATGGTTGGCTCGGTCTAAAGACCTCCTATTGCTGCGCCACGTGGACAAATTTCAAAAATAGCGATTTCGTGATTCG